GAATACAGCACTAGGATGTCTGTCTCCAATGTTATTATTGTAGTTCCTGCATTTCTTGTCAAAAACTAGATCTTCTGGGTTATGCCAAACAGCATTTTAATAGATAGCACAACACGGAAGATTCTAGTTTTATATTTAAATTATATAATGTCAGTAATCCAACACAGCCAAGAAATGAAGGAATTACAATAAGAACATTAGAGACAAACATCCCAGTACTGCATTCCCATTCCCAATCGCCATATTCTTCTTGTCAAGTGCCAATACCATGATTACGCATGAAAGATCGTCCAAACAAATTAACCAATACATACCAGTTGGGAGATAAAAAAGGCGTCCTCGAGGAGAGATAGCAACTCCCTAAGCGATGAGATCGCCTGTTGCAGCCTTCACATCTTCGAGGACGCCTTTTTTTCTTCCAGATTGTATCCATTGTCCATTGTCTCCTTCTTCTTTGTCTAAAACTCACAGTCACATGTCAATACAGCCTCGACCATAGTCTTTCGAATAAATTTCTTATTATTCTGATTTATGTGTTTATCCCGCCAGATAGACTTAAGAGTATGCACCGCTTTTCTCGCTTTATCGACCGTGTTTTTGATTTCCGTCTATCCAATACCATTCTTGTAGACAATGGTGCCGACAAGTGCAATTCACCAGAAGATAAAAAAGAAAATATGTACTATCAACATTAAAATGAATTCAGATGATCTAAGAAAGATAAAAAACACTTTAGATGCTATTTACACGATAGCTGAAGTAACGAAAGAAAAGAAATACAAAGAATTGTACCAAATAAAAAGCGTGAGTGTAGAACACTGATAGATAATACAAAAAAAGAAGCTTATAAACAATTTATGATGAATTCGGAAAATAAAATAACTGCTGCCTGGAATATAGTGAAGCAGGAAACTGGAAAAACAAGGCACACGAAAGAAAATAATTCTCCTCTGGACGCAAATGACCTAAATCAATATTTTGTAAACAGTGATAAATCTCAAACTATCAATATGGAAATAAGAGATCCTATTGGGCTTAAGCAAATTGAAGAACAAGAAGGAATGCAACTAGAAGATATTGGAGAAAAAGAAGTGGAAAAGATAATCAAAACGGGATGACAACAAAACTAATTCAGAACATAGAACCAACAATAAGAGAAGTATTATGTATATTATTAAACAAATGCTTAAGAGAGGGAACTTTTCCAAATGAATTAAAGTATGTTAGAGTCATTCCCATTCAAAAACCAAGGGATTCAAATGATAAAAGTAAATATAGACCAATATCACTAGTACCAATAATGTCTAATGCTTTTGAAACTATAATAAAGAACAGAATCATGAAACATAACGGAAAAGAAATTAATAACAAAATACCAACACGGATACCAACAGAAAAAATCGACAATGACAGCACTTCTTACTGTAATTCAGAACATAATAGCTGCCTTTTATATACAACGTTACACGCAAATAGCCTTATGTGATCTTAGCAAGGCTTTTGATTCTGTAGACCATAATATTCTCTTGAAGAAAATAAAGATATTCGGTATAAAAGAAAACGGAAGAAAACTAATCGGCTCTTATCTTTATAATGAGCAGCAACAGGTTTATTGGAATCAAACAACATCTAATTGGAGGAAGGTTGAAATGGGAGTACCACAGGGTTCCGTGCTGGGCCCCATTTTATTTTTATTATACATCAATGACTTGCCTCAAAATATACAGCGGACTATATGCTTCTATATGCAGACGACACCTCTTTTATAAATACTTGAAAAGATTTTCAGGATCAAAAAACTAAAACAACATTAGATACAGCCAATAATTGGTTCAAATCGAACTATTTACGTTTAATACTTACCTTTTTTACGAGAAAAAGACAAGAGGTAAAAAATCGAACGACAAAGATTAATATTATCTGAAACCTTTTCTTGGAGTGATCACATAATTAAGAAATTAGCGAATTCACTATATTGCCTGCTAGTGGTATCTAAAATATTGCCTGGAGAAGAGCTAAGAAATATGTATTTTGCGTACTTTTATGGTATGGCAGTATATGGACTACTCACATGGGGTGCATCAAGAGAGTTCGAAGAGATTTTTAAAATGCAAAAAAGGCAATAAGGATTTTGAAGCAGCTAGAATACAGGGAAAGCTGTAGAGGACACTTTAAGAGTATAATCATTTTAACAATACCATCATGTTTTATCCTCGCTTGCCTTCAACATGTACACGAACAAAGAGAAACATTGGTTAGAAATAAAGACTCGCACAATAATTATGACATGCGTTTTGGAGATAATTTATTACCACCTCTTCACAGAGTGCAGAAATCGCACATTTCAATCAAGTTGTATAATGCTTTACCATTGAGATTAAGGAAACTGAAGTGAAAAATATTTCAAAGGGAAGTGAAGGAATATTAATAGAAAACGAACATTATTCACTTGACGAATTCTATCGAAAAATATTGTTATATTGTTATATAGATATTCAGTCTTGTCAATTTTTAAACACGCAGTTTTTCAACATAATATACATGGCATATGCGTCCTGTGCTATAATTTTATTGTTATGACGTCAATGAAGCTCAATGTGCAGAAATAAGTGTCATTAATCTGAATGCCTGAATACACATTTATTGCAGCGTCTTCATAATGATGAAACATAATTGGTGACAAGTTAAACCCCTGACTTAATCCTTTATTAGGGTATATTGCTTCTGACTACTTGCTTCTTATACTCGGTATATTACTTCGTTGTTAATTGGTGTAATTGTCCATGCGTGAATCCACTTAGATCTCTTCCGTTCTTAGCCTTTTCTGAATAAATTGTTCATCCAGGCTACTAAATGAACTGATTATGCTGAGCCCTCTATATCTACTTGGCTCCTTTCTATTACCTTTTTTGAAGATAATAACTCTTTGATTCGGTAGACCAATATCTCAACCCCATACGGAATGAGGTCTGTAGATATATTGCCTGATACTGGCGATCTTCCATTCTTCCAGTACATTATAGTTACATTCCAGTCATTCTTCTTTGTAATAAGTATCTTTAAATCTTTTGTAAACCAGAACGGTTGCTTTTTTTCCTGTTTTGCTTTTTATATTCTCCCAATGCCTTTCTGGCCGCTTTATAATACGTAATTTCGAAAAACTTCCGTATACTATACAAATTAAAAGTGCAAGTTGTATCTTCACAGTGACCGCCCTACTTATTTGTCTCTATTTGACTCTTGTCTGAACTCTACAGTCGTTCACTGTAAGATATTTAACTTCTTGGCCGTTACATAGTCAATGATTGACTTTTGGTGACGTGAAGCGGTAGATAACTTTATGTGAGAACATAGTATTTATTACCACAACACTCAAAACTCACAATCTCATTATCATAACGACATTTCACTCTCGCATTTAATTCACCAGCTAGTATTACCTCTGTACTAGTTTTCAGGTCACATAAAATATTTGTTAGCTTCTCGTAGAAGTCATTCTTTATCTACAACAGTTTCGTGTCCTTATAATTTAAGAGTGACTGTTATAATTGTGTTAGGCGTGAAGAATAGTCTTAGCAGAATATGAATTTTGAAAAGTCTAGATCAGAAATTCAGGCTCTGTTTAATTCGAGCTTCTGATAAAGATCACTTTCCAAGTGTTGTGGTGATGAGAAACCTTGACGATGATACGTTATTCCTGTACCACTGATAGTTCCTCATAAAACTTATGTGGCCAGAAAGATTGTTGACGAAGCGATTACAAAAATTAAACTGCTCAAGTCGCATGGTGAAGATGAAATCATTATAAATCATTTCATGGAATTGCAGAACTTTTGTCCCACATAATATATATCTGCCGAAATCATGACTTTTGCTGCCAGCGTGCAAAGATCTTAAGAAACCCATCTTGCAAATATTAAAGAAGTGAATGAAGAAGTAAATGAATGAAGAATTTAATACGAAGTGGGTCTATTTTACGATGATATGGAAGTTGCTACAAACCTAACCCCACAAAAACATTACTTGGAACTTTTGAATCAAACGGCAGAAACGAACGTGCCCAGTTTTTGCTAAAAAAACATCTTCTCCAAGGTCGAAAGGTCGTTTTCCAGAACGAAATAGATGTTATAATAACTGAAAAGACCTGTTACAATAAAAATTATCTGCCAATCGGAACAAAATATTCTATACCTAACAGCAATTTTTTTCTTTGTCGTAATGGTTTATAAGCGAATAGCATCTGTATCGAATTGAATTCGTATTCAACCATCACTCGTTCGAAATAGGTACTTTCTTTACATCTACATCTGTATGAAACAACGGACTTTCATCGCATCACTCAATTTTTCTCACATATTATGTAATAAGCTTACAACAACTAGTTTTTACCCATTATATGTACAATTGTAATCCAGGTGGTCTTTTCATGATGTTGCACACGAGACATCTTAAAATTTTTGACATTATTCACTACAAATTATGTTGTATCAACGTTACCAATAATAGTAACACCTTATTACTCACTTTTAAGGTTGCCATCAAAATCAAAATGTTTTAAGTTAATATTTCAGTCTAATTTTTATTTGTGAGATCTTCACAGGACGGATTATATGAATGGCATCCCCATAACTAAAGTGGATGTATAAATCGGCTTTTATAACTAAATAAGTTATCGCGAAGTTGTACCTGCTCTCGACTACTTTTTAAGGGAGATTATCCCTCCTTACCTTTCACACAGCTTTATTTAAAATATTATTTTCTTACCACTTGAATAAGACATGAATACGTAATGTTTGAATAATGTTTTGAATAAGTAATTAAAGGATTATTTATGTGTATATCAAAATTTATTTGTTATTAATAGTTGTATAATAAAATATTAAAATCTCATTAAAACAATCTCCCTTTACACGTGTAAATCCCACGTAGGGAGACCGTTCATTCCTTGTTGCTTCGAACAATTCAAACAATTTCATGTTCGTTCATTGTTCTGCTTCCAGTCGCCCCGGTGTGCAGACCAGGACAAGCGAAAAGCTTCGGCGTGGCTAGACACGAACGTGCCAAGATCCCCTGCGAACTCGAAGCCAACCCTGTTTCCGGCCTTGTGTTCACTTGGAAGTTCAACAACAGCGCTGAAACTATAGACATCCAACAGTCTCACGTGTTCAATGATGGCGCTACCAGCAACGCTATCTACACTCCCATGACCGAACCGGACTACGGAACACTTATGTGTTGGGGTAGAAATGAAATTGGTATACAAAAGGAACCGTGTGTTTATTATATAAATCCAGCAGGTAATTAAGATTTATAAAATAAATAAAAATAAGGAATGATTGGTCCGCTAGGGAGATGAGATCTGCTTTGAGTAAAAAGTATGCAAACGAATTTTATCTCGGTCTTCCACTAGTCCGGCTCTGTCCTCGTTTTTAAAACGCGACCGACCGGGGCGAGAGCCGTAAATCTCGCATTCGGATGCAAAATAAAACTACTAGAGGTCGGACGGTTGCCACCCTGCCCTCTGGGGGTCGAATAAATTCCGGACAGTCGCCCTTTTTGCCAGACGCTAAAACTGCTAAAAGACGAATTTTCACCGCGTCCGGAAAAAAACGGGGTGCACGAGCGCTTTAAGTAAATAAATCGTAGGTTTACGGATTATAAGCTTTGTTTACCGACCCCTCCAAAAATATTATCTACTGTCTGCCAGGAGTGGGCAAAAACGATACGCATTAATAACGCTTTCGCGCTTATTATCTAGTTACAGCCAGGGGTTAATTTCATAAAGTACTTTTTTTACTTACTCTATTATCAAAACTACAAATAATCCATCTTTTTATACCTTACTTTATGAGATGCTTTTATTCATCCCCCATATTCAACGCCATTAATATAAATCCAGACCTCTTTGTATTTCCCCCCTACATAACACTCTTAACCTTCATCCTTTATCCTTCTGTCAACGTAATTGGATTTTGAGGTCTTCACCTCAAAGACTTCAAAAAGATTCTTAAACTCCAAACATATATATGGACGTTATTTACCTTTAACTAAACAGAGATAGTATTGAAGTCGAGTAAAGTCAAGTAAACACTTCACTTTCTATTATTATTCCGTAGGAAAACCGGATCCTTTATCGAATTGTACGATTTTAAATGAAACCGCGGAATCCCTCCACGTCGAGTGCAGTGAAGGTTTCGACGGGGGTCTCCACCAGGAATTCATTATGGAGGTTTACGACGCCTCCACCAAAAAATTAGTCAGCAACGTTACTTCCAGGATACCGATATTTACCGTGGGCGGTTTGGAATCTGGATTAAGCTTCGAAATCGGACTTTACGCCACAAACAAGAAAGGTCACAGCGATGTCGTCCGATTACAAGCGTTCACTTTAAAATCGGCCGAAAAACATACAGGTAATAACTTTTTTTTCTACTTTATAATGTCCACCAATTAGTCAGCAACACTCTGTTTTCGTTCGTTCTGTAACGAAATAACGCGAAATTTGCAAAAAATCATATCGTCTGTATTTTTAAGAATAATGATTTATGTATGTTAAATTCAAGTACAATATTATTGAAATTTCCAAGAAAAAAATATTAAAGAAGAAATTGTGAATTTATAAATCAAAAATAAAGCGAAATTTTCAAAAAATCATATCGTCTGTATTTTTAAGAACCATGCTATGATATGTATGTTAAATTGAAGCTTAAAGATTCTAGTTTATGATATGATATAAAAACTAAGATAATTAGGTATTATTGAAATTTCCAGGAAAAAATTATTAATGAAATTAATCTTTTATTAAATCTTTTTTCTATTCCTCCTTCCACCTCTTGCACTCCCTCCGGTTTCTGGCTAATTCCTTTATATCTGCTAGAGTCTTCCCTCGCTTCTTCTCAACTTCTGCTATTATTTCTTCCCACTGCTTCCTAGGTCTTCCCCTGTTTTTCTTATCCTTATTGTTTGCTTCAAATGCCTTTTTTACTATAGTGTTATGTTCCATTCTAATTATGTAGGCGTACCAGTTTAGTTGCTTTCTCTCTATTTTGCTAATTATCTCCTCTTGATCTACTCTCAGTCTTATTTCTTCATTCCCTGTCGTATCCCACTTCGTCTTCCCCACTATTTTCCGTAAAAATTTCATTTCCATTGCCGTAATCTTTCCTTATCTTGGAGTGTCCATCATTCACTGGCATATGTTAATATGTTAATATTGGGACTGCCACCGTGTTGTACACTTTCAATTTTATCTATCTTCTTCTTCCCAAAAATTGTTCTGTTTAGAGTATGATATACGTTGTTTATTTTCCTTATTCTTGCATTTATGTCATAATCTATCCTTCCATCTTGTGTCCCAAGTACTCATATGATGATACTTCTATCTTTTGCTCCTTAATAAATATTTCTTTCGGGTTATTTCTTATTTCCTTTTTATTTATTATCACGATTTTACATTTACTTACGTTCAATTCTAGGCCCATCTTTTCAATTTCTTGTGTCCATATTTCAACCAACTTCCTTGCCTTTTATATTAATATGTCGTCATCATATAGTAAATTATCTATTTTTACTGGTTCCAAACTTTTATGACATATTACTGTTTGATATTTATTTGTTCTTGTTCTTGTATTTTTTATCACTCTGTCCCTTAATATTATAAATAACAAGGGGCTTAGGCTATCGCCTTGTTTTATTCCCTTACTCATTTCAAAAGTTTTTGATGTTTCTCCCTTCATTTGTACTATGCTCTAGACTTTCTTGTACAGGTTTTCAATTATATTTGTTAGTTTTTGTGGTACCATTAGTTGTTTTAGACACTTCCATATAATACTACGGTTAACCGTCAAATGCTGCTTTTAGCTCCAAGAATATTAGGTATAGTTTATTGTCCGTCTCTATTCTCCTTTGGATGATATTTCGGATTACATGTACTTGCTCTGTATGCTGCGTGTTCATATTCTAGTTAATTTTCCACTACTCCTCTTAACCTTTTTTCTATTGTCCTTGTATATAATTTGTAACTTGTAGATGATAGGCATATGGCTCTGTAATTTTCACAGTTCGAGCTTCCTTTTTTATGTATTGGTAAGATGATATTTTCTTCCCAATCTTTCGGGATTGTTTCCGACTCTCCTTCGATTTTATATATACATAGAAGCCACTCCTTCCCTCTTATTCCCAAATATTTTGTAGCCTTGTCTGTTTTCATCATGTCCAGAATTTCGCTTGTAGTTTTCATTATCTTGTTGTTCTTATCTTTGACGGCTTTTATTTGTTTCCTTTGATCTCCCTTCAGTTTTCTTAAGCTCGTTACGAACTCATCCCAACTTTTCTTTTTCGCTTCCCTTACCACATTCTTAGCTACATCTCTCTTCGTTCTATAGCTTGCTCTATCCTCTTCCGAATTAGCTATTATGTATTTCTTCCATGACTCTTTCTTCTTCTTCTTCATTGCTTGTCTGACCTCTTCATTCCACCAGTGTGTTCTGTTTGTCTGATTATTATATATTATCATTCCACACACCTCCATAGCTTTATTTCGCATTATCTTTCTCCAACTTTCTTCCAACATGAAATTCAACAAGAAATTTTGATTTTATAAATGTAGGTTATGCCCTTCATGCAATAAGGGCCAGGAAACATTCGTCCCACTAGACACTTTGGGTGGGACACATAAAACCCAATAGACTTGAAAATAATTTTATTCATACAGAAGTAATACAGCGTGTCCCGTATCTTCCGCATCAGAGCATTATACGGTTGTAGAATACATTATTCTGAAGCGAACTTTCTAATAAAATTTTTTCGAAATGTTTATAATAACCGCACGGAAACTGTTTAACGACGACCAATAACGGACGACTTTGATTCATCGAAAAAGTTTATTTCTCTTTCCATGACGAATCTATTGGTGAGTACACGTGGGAAACGAGTTATCATCGGCGTAGCGAACCGGCCGAGGGTGGCACCGATTACCTGAGTCTGATTTGCGATCTGCTGATTGGACGAAAAACAGTTCCTTTAAACAGTTCCCGTGCGGTTATTATAAACATTTCGAAAAAATTTTATTAGAAAGATCGCTTCAGAATAATGTATCCTACAACCGTATAATGCTCTGATGCGGAAGATACGGGACACGCTGTATAGAGAAACACGTAATTCGCATTATTGCAGTTGGTACGGAATGAAGGATGTTTTGCATAATGGTATGTTACACATTTGACACAGAGTTTTGGTTCTGGTTTCCCTTTGCTGTTGTGTGCATCCCGAACAACGACGTCTGGTAGAACCCTCAATGGGTAAATAATCTCCCACGTTTCGGAGTGTAGGTTTCTTTTTACGATGTCGGCCCAATGATTTTGCAGATCTTCTTTTTACATTTGCACCATTTCTGCTTAACGCAATCAAATCTTCCGCTATGGTAATTAGGTATGGTAGGAATGATGGTTTTGTGCTGCATTCCTTGCAGCCATCATGAGTAGTTTGAAAAAAACTTTTTTCCGCCACTTATTGGATCTCCGATCAAAATCCTCCCATGTGTTCATTGTAAAACTTCAGCATTGTTGGACACTAGAATTCTTTCTTCGTTCCATCTTTCATAGTTCGCTGTATAACTGTAGTTTCATCAGTGAAGCAATTACTAATTGCTAGTACATCTTTCGTGTCTTGCCATCTGCAGACAATTGTGCCATTTGCGAACTGAAATTGACTTTCTCCTCGTTCTAGTTTTCCAGAAAATTCAGGAACATTTTTACGATTTCGCATCAGATTACCAACAGCAGGAAAGTGTCAAGTAAGCGAACGGAAGAGAAGAATCTATCAAATGTCAATACTACATTTGTGCATTTGATTGTGCCTGACAATTTGAGAACAACTCTTTCGCCAAGTGTCCCTTCATAGACATCCATTTCTTTACCAGCATAAATATTTAGATCATAAACATATCCTGTGAGTCTTTTTCGAGTTCCCTGTCGGTGAGTGGTCGACGGCTCATTGTTTTATAGGTACAAAGCACTAAAAATCGCCGCGTTTTATGAGTACACTATGGTTGGAACTAGGTACAATGCTTATTACTAACCTTAGAAAGTCGTTTCAACAAAGTTTACGCACTGGCACACTTATACTTACACTTGGTAATCCAGTTTATAATAAAGCACGTGTAGTCTGGAATGATTTCAATTGGAAACTGAGAGGTTATGTGTGCATTTGTAAATAAAGTTTTGAATGGTGTACAGTGTAGAACTGACATATTTATATATACTGTAAAAACGGGACGGATTTATCCCAATAGGCATCAGAAAACGTACGTGGGACACATATGTCCCGATAGACTTCAAAGGGTTAATAGTTGCCATGACTAGTCTGTGGTTGGTTCCAATTTCTGCATCTGCTTCAGTCTTTATCTCCTCGACTTTGTTTTGGAGATTCCGGGTGTATGTGATGTAATCAGTAATACTCTTAACGTTCCTTTCTTTCGCCACGAACGTATATTCATCTTGCCTCCTCTGACTCCACATAATGTTTCCGATCAATAAGTCGTTTATTTGATAAAATTCCAGCATTCTTTACCCATTTCTATTCATTCACTGCCTCTCCCCGATCTCCATATTCTCGTATACTGCCTCTCCCCTTGTGTATATCATTAACTATTCTCGCATTCCAGTTTCTGTTCCTTTCCGTTTAGATCAATTCACAATTCCAGAATTCTTAAATTTACTGGTGCACACTTATTCACTCTTATAGTATAGTATAGATTATAATTGTTTGATAATTGTATGCTTCCCCTTCCCTTCTTTTTCACTTCAGTAATTCCCATTATTTCTATCCCAAACCTCTCCATCTCCTCCATTATTTCACTTTCCTAATTCGTTAAGTTGTAATCCTCATCTTTATAACTTTCCTATTTTCCCCTTGCTTTTCCTTGCGTTTATCCATATTCGTGCTATTTTCATCCTTAGTAAACTCTCCTCTTCTTTTTACACTTAGTTTTTAATTTATACGGCGTTTCTTTTTTTCTTCTTCCATATCGTCCGGTGATCTTTCCGAAACTGTACGTTTATTATTCCTGCCAGCTTTTTCATCCACTATCTTCCCCTCGTCGTTTGCATCCTTTACATTTATTTTGTTGTATTGTAAATGAGCTTTAACTCCTTTCCTCCTGAGTTTCCTTAGTTCAATCATCAAATCATATCTCTCTCTCTGAATTTTCTTAGAGTAGTCCTCATCTATTCATATGTTCGTTCCTTTCAACCCTTTAGCGTTTTTTAGGATATTCATTCTTCTGCCTTCCTTTGTAAGTTTTACTAATATCGGCCTATTGTTGTTCTTTTTATATGCTCTTATTCTACTTGTGATATCTCCGATATTCCTCATCAAGTTAGTCACCTTATTCTCTTTCTTTTCGAAATCTTCAAATCTCTCTTCTTTAATTCCCTTTATTACCACATTTGTACGTCTCACCTCTCTATCCAGCATATCTATACGTTTCTCCTGTTCCACAATCTTCCCCTTCAGTTCCTCACTTTCCCTTTTGTATCCATTTATCTCCATTGTCATGTCGGTCAGCTGTTCCTACAATACGAAATTTTAATAAAATCATATCGGCTGTATTTGGAAGAATTATAATATGATATGTATGTTAAATTGAAGCTTAAAGATTTTAATTTACGATATGGTATAAAAACTATAAGATAATATTATTGAAGTTTCCTAGAAAAAATTATTAAAGAAAAAATTGCCAAATTTATTAAAAAAAAAATAGGAAATTTCAATAAAAGCATATCATCTGTATTTTTGAGAATCACGATATGATACGTATGTTAAATTGAAGCTTAAAGATTCTAGTTTATGATATTAAAACTATGAGATAATATTATTGAAATTTTCAGAAAAAAATTATTATAGAAGAAATTGCCAAATTTATAAATCAAAAATAATACCAAATTTTGATAAAATCATATTAACTGTATTTTTAAGAATTATGATATGATATATAGGTTAAATTGAAGCTGCAAGATTCTAGTTTATGATATGATATAAAAATTATAAGATAATATTATTGAAATTTCTAGGAAGAAATTATTAAATAAATTGTCATATTTATAAATGAAAAAGCATACGAAATTTTGAAAAAATCATATCGACTGTATTTTTAAGAATCACGATATGATATATATGTCAAATTGAACCTTAAAGATTGTAGTTTATGATATGATATAGAAACGATAAGATAATATTATTGAAATTTTCAGGAACAAAATATTAAAGAAATTTCCATATTTATAAATCAGAAAGAATACCAAATTTTGAAAAATCATATCGATTGTATTTTTAAGAATCATGATGTGATATGTGTGTTAAATTGAAGCTTAAAAATTCTAATTTAAGATATGATATAAAAAATATTAAATAAGACTTCACGCCATTCGATTTTTTTCCGTGGCTATACCTTAAGAATGAGTTGTATTGAAAACAAATCTAAAAAAAAACAAGGTGTTGCTGACCTATTGGTGGATACTGCATATAACTCAAAAATAATAATAAACTAAAAATAAAAAATTTAGTTTTATCTTCAAATATCGTTGATCCAAAACCTCCAGAAAATTGCACGTTAAAATACCATACGAAGAAGTTCCTGCAAGTTCGATGTCAAGTCTCTAAAGATCAAAACCAACCCGGTTCAACGTATTTACTTCAAGTTTACGATGCCAATACGAGATTATTATTAGCAACGGCAACGTCGCAAGTAGCTGATTCAATAACCGTGTCATCTTTACCAAAGGATCACGACAGTTTACTATTATTTGTTAGGACAGTAACACCAAAATCAACCACGAGTAACGCTGCTATATTGTATGCTCCACCAGCTACATCAAACAGTTTTGTTTCAGGGGGTAAGAACCCATCAGTTCTTTTTAGGGCGATAAAATCCCTTAATAAATCGCTTTGGTGTTTTGGTGATGGATTTGAAATAATTTTATTCGATTATCTATTTAAAACATCTTTTAGCTTTGCTTGGGGTTTTTCTTTAATCTTCTAAATAATTCTAAATTAAAAAATCGAAATATTCCTTAAATAAATATCCTTTACAGCTTCAACCCCAGTATTTCTTCAAATAACTCCAATTCTAGGAGCACTAATCGGAGTGGTTGTGGCACTGATCCTGGTCGCAATAATTATAGTCGTCGTGATTCGTCTTAGAAACGGCGACGACCACGAAGATAAAGATTACGACGACGGTGGACTTTCGCCAAGCGGACGAAGATGTGTTGCCGGAAGCGGAGATAAAGCCAGCACGGAACCGCTTAACAAAGATTTAAACGATAGTGTGGATAGTCTCGAGGAGAAAAATCCCGACATCATACCCCAAAATAATTGTGAAGACGAGTACATGGAGGATGAGCGAGGATTCGAAAGACTTAATAATTCTACTTTGTATAGAAGAGTTAACCCGAATAATGTTAATAAAAATTTTGATTATCCGAAAACAGTAAGTAATTTTTCTTTTATTAAAACTAACCATTACTAACACACAATTTCTCATTGTAGAATGATGAAATAACTTACGCTGAATTATCTCTACCAAATCAACAGATGCCCCACGTCATTTATAATCAACAGCCGATGCCGATGGCGATGATTCCAAGGCAGGAACCGACGGTGTACGCACAAATAGATGTCAATAAGAGAATACAGACATGTCTACAAACGCTCAGTCCACCGCATCCCTCAACATTCCAACCGATGCATCACCCTCATCCGCATCATCCATATATGCCTAGATTGAGAGAGGAACGGATATTACATGAAAATGTTGTCAATACAGAAACTCCTTTGGTTAATCCACGAGATAGTAGCGTAAGTTATTTAATTTTAGAGAAATCTGTTAATGATATTTTGCATAGCAAAATTAAAACGAATTATTACCTTAATTCAAAAATTTTTCGTACAATATTTGCTTATAATGTGATTTAAAAACGGTTATCTTAACAAAAATTTCGATATCTCCACTAGGCGGCCTAATTTTTTTAGGATATCTTAATAATCATTGCTGCTATTAAAATGTTTTGTAAATAATATTTGTTTAGAATTGAATAACAAGGATCTTTTATTAATAACAGTTTTTTAAATTGCTTAATTTTAATTTCCCTCTGAACAGTACAGTTTTTGTAATAGACCAAAACCGCGATATAACGAATTTCTTTAGAACGGACTTCGGATATAATAATATATACAAAATATTTTTAAGTCATACTATTAATAGGTATTATCTATTTAATATACAGGTTGATTCAAAAAACCGCTGACAGACGTCTAGGACAGGTAATACATCAAAAATTAAGATGAAAAGTCTTAATAGTTTTTAAGAAAAACGCGTTTGTAGAAAATTTGTTAATCCAATCAAAAACTGTTGCTTTCATCAAAGTTTTGTAAGAGACCAATTGATAGATAATTGACCACTTTATACGAAAATACTGCTCGTTTGACAAAATTACCAGTGGCGTTGAATTTGAGACATTTGCGACCCGATGTATATTAAGATTATTATCTTAATTTTTTATGTGTTATCTACTCTAGAAATCTGTCAACGGTTTTTCGAATCACTCTGTATAAGTATATTTAATGGGGCCGTTACCCTCAATCGAATAGAGAGACCGTCTTTAAAAAAATTGATAATCTATATAAAAACAGAAGTATTAGTAACATTTTCAGATCGTAAAAGTGTTTAATTTTTGCAATAATTATTATAAAAATTCAAAATCCCACTCTATAAAAGCTTTGGTGACGTTTACAAACTTAAGCGTAAGATCAAGAAGACACAAACGTGCATCGTTCGGATTACTCTATCTACTCGAAACGACGATGACGTCACCAAAGTTTTATCAAATTTTCGATTTTTTTTTTTTTTTTTTAAACTAAAGCCCAGTTTAAAAAATAAAAAATTATAGAAGTCTTTAATTTTGCTAAACTATCGAATAAGGCTTATTCAATAAGCCAATAACAAAAAATGTGTAACGGCCCCATTATAAATGTTAGTGCTCATAGATAGAATCCAACCCGGGTTATTCCCAAAGTTACTCTATTCCATATTTATAAACTCAGGATATTCCTAGAGTTGTCTATACGATGGATAAATCAAGGACGTTAGTCGTGGTTTTAATTCAGCAAGTTATTCAGTGCTACATTATATTTTTATTGAACGAAAACTAGAACTAACACTAGACCTAGAACTAGAAACATTCGGGTTTAGCCGTCTTAAGAGAAACACAGCTAAACCCACATGTACCTAGTTCTAGCTCTAGCATTAGTTCTAGTGCTAGTCTTAGTTCTAGTTTTAGTTGTTATTCAACGTTAGATAGTTGCATACTTTTCATTGAACTAAAAATGGAACTAACACTAGACCTTGAACTAGAAACATTCGGGTCTAGTCGTCTTAAGAGACGCACGATTAAAATCTTTACTTTATATTATGAACTTTAAGGTTCAAACTAACAACATTACAAAACACAAACAGAATGAATAAACATTTGCCAATTCAAAGTGTGAAATAGTAGTTGCGTGACGTCACGAACGGGCCTTCGAGCTGTACACCTGTTCCTGGGATGTACACTGTGTTAATTAATTATCGTACTCGACGTCATCATTGCAAGTATACAACCAATATCACAGTATTCGTATTGCAATACGCAAATCGCTTTATTGGTTACATACTTGCAATGCCCGATAATTAATTAACACACTCCTCGTAGATTTTACCGTCCTTGGTATAAATATAAATCCACGTAGACTGAACGTAAAAGTGTGAATAGCTGTCCGAATTTGATTTGACTATTTGAATGAATCATTTGAATATTGATTCATTCAAATAGTTTTTTTGATATTTCCACCAGATTCTATAATGTTGTATAAGTTAATTTTTTTTAAGTTATTCTGATAATTATTGATTCCCGTTCTTCTTCCCTTTCCCCATTTTTTATCAATTATGTTTGGTTCTTTGCTCATTGTGTTTTGTTCTCTAACTCTCAGTATCTTTTCATAATTTTATTTTCCTTCAGCAGTACTTTGCCCTTCTTATCTTTTAATGCTTAGTACATTTTAATCTCTTTTCTATTCTTAAGAATTTCAGCATTCGATAGAATAGCTTCTGATTTTCTGCGCAAGTCTTTTCTATTTTCTCTCCAAATTATTTCTATTATTAATTTTTGGCAGCAATTATTATTTCCATATCTTCTTCCTTTATCGTTGGTAATTATTGTAACTTTCTTGAGGTTTTTGTCAGATAGTCCTTTCATATCTCTTTCTTTTTCAGCTTAATTTTGCACTACAGCCCTTCTTCAGGTCTATTTCTCCTTTATTTTTGCCTCCGCACGTTTCTATCTTCTGCCGCCATGCCCTACACTGGCATATCCAGAAGAAACCAACCCCAACCTTTCTTTTAAACCATGTCGTCTTAATATTATATGTGGAAGAGAAGGAAAACAAAAACTCCAGTTTTTGGCCTTAAAAGATGAATCGTATAAGTATTTTTATTATTTTTATGTGTTTATGTGTTAACACATAAGGCCAAAAACTGGAGTTTTTGTTTTCCTTCTCTTCCACATATAATATTCGAATGATGAATCTGGAGAAAGAACTAGCGAAGTTAAATGTCGTCTTAAGTTCTGTCATAGTTCACTCCTCACTTGTATAGCTTGCAATAGGCCTTGTTACTATTTCGTAAACTCGTAACTTGTTATTGCGATGTACGTTTTTGGATTTAAGTACGTAAGTACACGAACATTGCGAAAGAATTTTTTTTTGCTGTGTTTATTTTACTGCGAATTTCCCTTTTTTCCACTATCTCCATATTGTCTTCCAATATGACGCGTGCGGCTCATGATATTAATGTCATCTACGTAAGGAACCAGTTGTAGGGTCTTATTGGTTAGTAGATTTTCCTTTCCGATGTCTCACTATATATTCCAGAACTAAATGGTTAGTTCGTCACTTTTTTTCAAATCTTTCAAGACATTAAACATATTGAATCGTTGATTTTGAATACGCACCGCCATAACCGTGTCATCCATTGTTCGATCAGTATCTCGTATAGTTTATTGCTATTGATCGAAAAGTTGTACGCATTGGTATATGATGTATATAAGTAATTATATAATTAGCACATTTTAATTTGTTTTCCTTGTTATAGATCAAATTATTTCGTTATCAGTGCATGGATATATTTTTTAGATAGGTTTTCACAGCCTCATTTCGAGGATATTTCATCTATTCCTGAAGCCTTGTTATTATGCTGTCGGACTTAATCTTGATTGCTAGTTCTACTTCTTACTCGTGCATTCCAAGCAGTGTCTCATGCTTCTCAGGTGTCTATATACACCTTTTGGCCCATTGTTTCTGAAGCCCTCTTCTATCTTTGCAATGAGATTATTCTCATTTTTTTTTTGCTTCTGCACAATGCCATATTTTGGTTTTGTTTCTCTCGTTCTTCTTGTAACGCACTTCTTATACTGTGGGTTTCTTCTACTGTCTTCATCAAACCAGATTACTCCCTTCTTCCTCTTTTCTTTGTGGTCCTCTACTAATTAATGTGGTTACCCTTCTTGTATTAGTTTTTGCATTTCTCGTTTAAATCTTGCTTTAACTTTTAGTAGCTTAGTTTTTCAATGTCCAATCTTTCAGTTTTCGTTGTTTCTAGATATTCTGCATCTGAAATTAATTTGATACTAGATAGTGGTCAGATCCGCAGCACGCCCATCTTGTTGCTTTATCTATAAGGACTTGGTCTCTTTGATTTGCCTGGATTTTCTCCGATGATATCCATATGGCCTTATGGATACTTGGGTGAGGGAAACACGTAAAGCTTCCAATTATATTTGTGTAAGTGGCAAAGTTAATTAGGCATTCTCCATTTCGATTAGTTCTATCATGCAGTGAGTGCCCTCTTATTGTTTCCTGGGACTGTTTTTCTTTGCCTATTTTAGTATTAATATCACATAATATATGATAATTAGACAGTTGTTCAAGTTTTTGAACTCAGTCTTTTTTTGCAAAAATAAGTAGTTAACCCATTGTCTAACCGTTCTCCCTTGTCCGGATTGCAGGTAGAGTTTTCTTCTTCTATCAATATTTAATCAATATTAATTTCTGCTTTGTACTTCCCCTATTAATCCTCGTTTGGTCCGTTTATTTATTTTTTTTTGTTCTTTATGGTTGTTGATGATATATTTGCACTCACATCTGATAACTATCTCAGAAATAAGTAAACATTTACTGATCTTCCCAAAATTATTTAAAAATTAAGACAGTTGCATGTAACTTCTTTATTACAAATTTTTATTTTCAGGCGCTACAACCTTTACTAGAAGTAAGCAGTTCAAAACCACCAACCATAACATCATCACAACCAAGATCAGTGACAGCAACAAGATTTTGACCGAATTAATATGAATTTTCTTGTTGAACTAATCAGAAACACCTCTCAAAATCGGAAAAGAAGTGTTTAATTGAGGACAATTTTTTGTGTGAATGTTACCTTTATAACTTTAATTGTTAAATCAGTGTAAAACAAACCAAATGAAATAAAAGAAATATGGGAAAACTTTTAAGCGTAAGAAATTAAGAAAAAAAAAAACAATAAGTTAAACAACTCTCAATGTGCGCTTTAATTAAGAAAAAAAAATAAAAATGAGGAGAAAATAAACTGATTCAAACGGTGAATTAGATTATGTACAATCATATTTTAAAAGAAAAAATTAATATGGTGTTGAGACGACGAATATTATTTTCGTTGATTGGAAACGACAATTATTAGAGCACAATCCGAATTTTTTATTAATAAAATGAAGAAAAAAATTTCTAAAAGATGTTGATGTAAAGTATATATATGGAAGTGTTTTGATTTTTTTGGCGAGAACTACATCTGAGAAGACTGAAAAGAAAAACCAGATCTTATTGGGTTGCGTTACATTTCCCCATTTTATTAAAAGTGAATAATATTTTTAAGTAATTTGTAAATAAATATAATACGATTTTATAGCTGTGACATAAAAATCAATTAATCTTATTGAATTATACATTATATTACATTTTTATAAATTTGTCGAGATATTATAGATTTAATAAATAAAATATATTAAATGTAAGTAAAAAAAAACCTGATGAAAGCAAGTTTTATGAACTCAATGTGTTCTGTTTATGTATCGAAATGAAAAAAAAATTAAACAAACAAATATATGTATATTAATATAGTCGAATCTGGTGCATAGAGTGTGTAATAAAAAAACTATATTTATATTTGTTGATAAATGTAAAAATAATGTATTGCCACTAAAAAAAATAATTATAATATAATTTTTCGTTTTATTTTACAATTTTATAACGATGTATATAAAAACAACTGTTTTTGTGTAATTTAATAAACAATAAAAGTAACAAAGATGGTGAGTAAGCCGTCCAATGCATCTTGAATATGTCGCCACCTTAAAACAGCCAGTTTGATGGCACAAATAACAAAATAGTTTTTATGGCGCTAATCAAACTGATGGAACAGAACACACACTTAAAGCAGCTGTAATAAATTTGTAAATATGTATATAATATTGCTCAAAACACAAGATATTTGTTATTAATAAGGATTTAAACAAATAAATCATATGTTAAAGAAAAATGTATTTCATATATGGCCGGCAATTTTCAAATATTCATTATTATAAATGCAATAAATAAGTATTTAATTTAATCTTATTTCTTAAATATAACATTCTATTTTATTTTCCTAATTAATTCTAGTATTTTTCGCAATATATTATTCAGTAATGATTGATTGTGTGAAATAAATGATTTTAAAATAAAGAAATTTTAAACAATTGTCCGTTTCTTATGATAAAATGTAATTTTTAAAAGGTATTTAAGAAAAGTGGCCTTGTCGGAATTTACAAAAACCGTTTTTGTTTTAAAATTTTTCAGTAGTGTTTAAAATATTAACCCAGGAAAAAAACTGTAAATAAATATATTATGTGTTATCATCATTCATGTAATTCATAAAATTGTCTATTTAAAATATAAATATTTCTTTCATTTGATCAGATCGTTTATTTATTCCAACATAGAATTTTAAAATATTATTTTTAAAGCAATAAAAATCATCATTACCATTTCACTAAAACTAACTACGTTCATCGCGCTATTCGACAATAACGCCGCTCGTTCTTGCGCTTCTATCGTCATGAAACATTGGCCATTGTTACAAATACCAACTTTTCCAAATAACGTACACACCGACATTGATTGATACTGCCTAAAATCCAATTTGAAACATATTTCTTCACGATTACAAATCGTTACATTTGTAGTCAATTTATTTCCACTATATTTCTTACTTGACTCCAAAACTATTTTACTTTGCTTTAACATTTGTTGACTCGCGTAAGTAGCGGTGGTACAATTTCCATTTATGATGCAACAATGTCTACAGTACCCATCTATTTGTTTCGGACAAACACACTCCTTTAAACCGACTCTTGTACAATCATAACTATGACATTCATTTCCGATACAAGTACCAAATATTCCACAGTGACACGGCCGCTGTTCTTTAGTACATGGACAACGAGAATTAAAATTTTTACAATCCTACAATAAAATAATGTAAATTTAGTCAATCTTGGTCAAATTTGGGTGTCATAAAATATAAGTTAAATCGCTGTAAAGTAACCAGAATTTATGAAAAAAGTATGTAAGTCTTAAAACAAAATTATTGAGGAAATGTTATCTTTTATGTTGAGCGAAACTCAGCTCAGATTTCATGGTGATATAGCTCAACAATCTGACATCGGATTTTTTTCATACTTTTTTTTCCTAAAGTCACATAAAATATCGTAGTTGAATTAAAATTATTTTTTGCTCAAAAAAAGACCAGATAGACAAGGTTCATTTACTGCTGCAGATATTAGGCAGTATTCTGTACATGTCATTACTGCAAATGTCAAAAACACGTTCGTATTGGAGTGATCAACTGGGATTCTAACCGATGCAAAAGAACCTGTGCGACGACAGCAACAAATCTCCCAGTAACAAACTATTACCCTTGTTTTTCTATCTACTTTATAAGCCCATATCTTCGGTGTCTTTAGAGATAGCGGAATATTAAATACACCACTAATCTTTCCTTAATCTAAAACCTTTTATCCTACCGATATCTTGATAGCCACAACGAGAAAAAAATAAAGAACGTTGCTGTGTTTCGAATGAACCTCAAAATTATCAAACTTCAAGCCCGTGTGCAGCAGTTATGGAACCGAATTAAAAAAAAAAGCTTTATCAATTTGGAAAGAACACACTTTGAGCTATCCAAATCCGGTTTGTTTTATCCGGTCAATAACTATCGGCATCGGCCAAAAAACACGCCTAATAAAGAACCCTACTTAAAGTCGGTAAATTGACTTTTCTCATTACAAAAGTAGCCAAAAGTTGGTGGGAACAAAAAAAAACCCACATCAATAATATAGGAATCTGCTCTATCTATTGATGTATAAAAAAAATCGCCGGTGCGCTTCCACCTAAAATTTCATTTCTACCCCAAAAATTGCGAAAACCTCGCATAATTGCTGTATGCAAATGTTTACGGCGTCATAACTTTCTTTTATTCGCGAAACAAGTAATAAGGCATGCGAGGAGGGGGAGTTCCAAACAATCAGAAAAGATTGTGCTGGTCTGTGTTCCGGACAGGACGTTACGCCTTTATTTCTTTATGTAGGTAAAATAAAGGCGCGACGTTCTGTCTTGAACGCACAATTTTGAACACATCATTACCATTATCTACCACCTGTTCAAATTTGAAATTTTTTGAACGAGCGATATCGATCTCTAAAGTGAGGCGCCTTCACTTTTGACGCGGATATTGACAATCGTTATGTAAAAAGTGTTGAACGGGTAACAAGCATTAAGTTGAAAAAAAAGCAGTGTTCGTTGCATGAAATTTGGAAACGTGTAAGGTTCCTCAATTTATAGGAAAGTAAAAACCGAAACGTTAAAAAAAAACTGATAAAGGTCGTATGCTGCAGTGGAATTGCCAAACAGAAGCGTTGTAATAAAGGCGATTTATCATTTACCTAACAGTAATACAGAGCTATTTCTGGAACTTTTTCATGAGGCCATGTTGTATATTAACAATTACTACAACACACATAAATTAATTATCTGTGGTGATTTTAACATTGGTTTTATTAAAAAATCTAAAACAACAAATATTCTGCTGGAACTGAAAAGCAGTTTCGGGTTGGAACACATTTTTGAATCTCCAACGAGAGAGACAACCAAATCAAGTAAATGTATAGATAATATCTTCACAGACATAACCAGGAATCGACTATGCGGTTCAACCAAACAACTGCATCTGGGAAATCACTATTGCCAAGTTCTGAAAATAATCAAGGAAAATTATGGTCCTGACTCAAAAACAACGGCACAATTCACCAAACGTGGAAGATATAATGACAACAGTTTCCGTCTCTTTGAAGCGGCACTGGATGATACAGATTGAACCCCTATCCTTAATGAACATGACGCTAACGCTTGTTACAACATCTTCCATAATACATTTCTAGAACTTTATAATGAAAACTTTTGCTGAAACTAACCAAAAGTTGACTAAAGGGAAATATAAATTTCAGAAGTCACAGGAAGCTAAAATAATGGAAAATACTCTCAATGCACTTGGATTGATGGCATCGGCTACCAAATCAAAACATTCGTCTGACACGTACAAGTCATACAAACAAAAATACTTCCATTTTTTTGAAGATAATAAACAAAAGAAAATGTGGGAAATAATAAATAGTCATCGCCCCTCAAAAACCGGGAGACATCCCTGGGAGCTCAATTAGATGCGAATGATTTTAGCAGGCATTATACTGAAGAAGCTCAAAGACTTATTGCGGGGACAGGTATTGCCTGTCGAACTCCTGATGACTTCCTGAAAGGGAACAAGGCTCGTCTAGATTACTGTTACTTTAAACCAACCAATGTAGAAGAAATACAAGATATTATTAAGAATCTAAAAGCAAAAGAAGTGAAGATGTGTATGGTCTCAACCCCATGGTAATAAAAAGAGTGTCGGAAAAAATATCTGCGCTTCTTTCAATATTTTTTAATAAAAGTATAGAAGATGGAGTTTTCCCCACATAACCAAAAATTGCTACGATTTTTAAGCTATCTTGCGCCAAATAGCTTGAGCTAATTGAAAAAAATATTTGAACAAATTGTGAGGGCTAAAATCGTTGATTATTTGTCTTCCAGAAAAATCTGGAACGATAGTCAGCATGAATATCGCGATGGCCGATCAACGATTACAGCCATTATAAGCATGGCTGATGAAATATTGAAAGCAACTTTGAAAAAGTGCAAATAACTTGTTGTAACCTGAGTCGCGCGTTCGACACGGTCGACCATGAGGTGCTTCTCGGAAAGATGAACTGCTACGGCATAAGAGGATTAACGCTTGATTTAATGCGGTCCTATCTTACAAACAGAAAATGGTGTGTAAAATGGAAGAATAAAATTTCCGATCTGAAAGACTCAACTGACGGTGTTCCACAAGGTTCCATTCTTGATCCAGTCCTCTTTGTTATTTATGTAAATGACCTACCAAACTGTGCGGGAAATGCAACCTCTTGTCTATATGCGGATGACACAACATTCATAACACTAAGGCCGACCACAGACGAAACATCTCAAAGCACTGAGGACACTCTAAAAATAGTTGGGGAATGGATGAATGCTAATAAACTAATTTTAAATGAGGACAAAACGCAGAAAATGCAATTTTTTATTCATTCAGAACAATCTGTAGTGGGGTTCGTGGGTTTGTGCGTGGACAGCAAATTGTCGTGGAACAATTACATTGAACAAGAACATGAACATGACACGCGTCAAAAAAATATGTTTAAGATACCATCTCACCGCTTAAGAGTGACTCAACAGAACGTGGATTATCAGGGAATTAAATTTTATAATAAAATACCTGCGGCTGTTAAACTGCTGAACT